CTGTGGTTCCCACCATAAAGTGTAACAGCAAGCAGAAACATCGACACAACACTCAGGATTTGGAGGCAGATTTCTCGATATCAAGAGGCCCTGATCAGGAACATTCCCAGAATATCAGGCCCCAAACTCTGCTGGTCTAAGGCTTTTGTATGATGAACCAGAGGATGTACAAAGGCAGCACAAAGGTGAGACAGAACAGCCTGGCAGTTCTGACTAGCTAGCAGGGTGAGATGGTCAGTTACAAGGGTAGATTAATTAATCCCCCATTTATGGAGCTGGGTACAATGGTACAGTCAGGCATCCGGCATGTTTGGTTATGCTCTTATGGTTATGGGGGTCAAGAAAGTGATTACAAAGCCACGAAGCAGTCACAGAGCCAGGCAGTTTCAAAAGAGCAAAGTTTTAAAAGGCACAATTTCTCTTGTACAGTCTCCCTTTTATAAGGATAACTAGCTGATTCATGTTAGGCTCATGAGTGCTCCTTAGCGGAGACTCCAGAAACTAATTCAGTGTTGTCACTGCATTTCACAAACAATGAACATAAAAGGTTAAAAATTCATCTGTTCTCTTCCACAGACTAACCTATTTCCCATGGCTTTAATGACATTGGGTAACCCCTAAAAGAAAAAAGCCCTAGTTCATGTGGCAAGAATTTTTGTGACAAGCAGATAGCAAAAGGCAATACTTAGTTTGGAGTCAAGGCAAACGAGTCAAGAGACTTCACATTGGCCCAGATCAAAGCTACACCTTGAACTTGGATTTACAAATCTAGCACCAGTAAGACTTCAGTAGAATTGTAAATTTCTGACAAACTTAGTGGGTTTCTAGAATCTCAGAGTCTGGTCTTCCTAAAGAGAAGCTTTATTCACAGAAGCTTTATTCCATGCTTTATTCACAGGTACATGCATATGTGTGTGTGTACGTTGGTGTGTATATGTACCGTAGCCTCAATTATCCTCACAAGATACGCATATGACTGAATCCATGGACTGAACCCTGCTTGTACTATACTATATTTTTCCCATATATATATGGCTATGATAATGTTTAGTTTAAAAATTAGGCAACAGTAAGAGATTAATAGTAATAACAATAGTAATAATAATAAACTAGAATATTAGTAATATACTAAAAATTATCTAAAAGAGGTCTCTTTCAAAATGCTGACTTTTCCATTTAAATTATGCTTGGCTGCAAGTAACTAAGCAAAATGTACACACACACACACACACACGCACACGCACACGCACACGCACACACGCTCACACACTCAGGTTCCAGCCTCACACATTTCTCCAGAAAAGAATTAGAGAGTTTAAAAAAAAATCAGAATTTCTTCAGACTTCCCTGGGAATGTTCTCCCGGCCACCAACTCCTTCCTCTGTGACATTTCTACCCCACAGAGCCACTGTTCTTTGCAAACTGGCTGAGCAGGGGCGGGGCAGCCTAACAGTGGAGCCTTGTCTCACTGTCCTCCGAAGCAGGTGGGAAGGTGAATAGAAGCCTTGGAAGAGGGAAGGGCGCGTTTTCCCCAAGCTCGGATCCTGCAGGCCTAGCCTCTGAAAGCTCCAGGAGGCTGCTCTGGATTAGGACACAATCCGAAGGCCCAGGAGGCCCGGGCACCGCAGGTGTGGGTTTGAAGTATTCCTGGCTAGCGAAGCCCATCTCTCCTCCTGGCTGTTCTGTCTGCTGAGATCTGGCTGGAATTCCTGGGTACGAAAGATATGGACCAGGAGAACTGTGCACTGGCTGCGGAGCCCATAGGCTCAGGTTTGCAAGTGTGTGCATGGAGAGGGGACTGGATGTGGGGCCCCTGGGTGCTGGGGCTACACTCAGCCTCTTGGAAGATGCTAATGAGATCATGGTAGAGAGCTGCAGAGCCTCTGTGGCAGATGGTAGAAGGTTAGATTTTGATTTCTCTTGTTCCACGGTTGTTTTTCTTGAAAAATATGCTACCGAATGTGCTGCTTTCTTGTGCTTGATATCTACAAAGCCACAATTAATTTTTTAACCCTTTTTATCTAACTTTCCTCTGCTCACAGATCTAAGTATGGAATGACATTCTTTTAGGAACCAAAGCAAATTGTTATCTAGCTTTTCCCTCTGTCCTGTATGTACCCTGCATTTTTTGTTTATATCAAAGGTATCATATTTTTCTCAAATCTACAGATAATAATCTGCCAATGTTATGAGCACCTCAGTGTTGTGTGATTTCAGTTTATTACTGGCTGGAGCCACACTAAATTATCCTGTTTGTGTTAATATTTTTTTTTTTTTTGAAAGAGGGTTTCCCTGTGTAGCCCAGGCTGGCCTCAAACTAATGCAATCCTTCTGCCTCAGCCTCCCGAGTGCTGGAATTACAGGCATGCACCACCACACCCAATCTGTGTTAATTTTTTATTCCCTCGGTAGACAGACATATAAAAACAGAATGTAGTACAGGAACCTCCAAGAAAAAACTACATTTTGTTAAATATCTTCCATATGCAGGCACCGTGCCAAACAACATGATCTTACATGCCAGACATGACTTTATTCCATCCTCACATCCTGCCATAAAAGGTGCCATTATGACCCGGTTTTATACATGAGGAGACAGACTTGCTGAATGAAACTGGTCCAGGTTCAAGTGGCCAAGAAGGAAAAGACCCAGAACAGAAAAGCAGAGAGTCCACTCCCAAGACAGTGCCTGGAGATACTGCATCCTTCTGTCTTCTCTGATGAACTCAGGTGGTCAGTGGTAGTCGTGCGGGAATTTCAGGGTACTGTCCCCAACTTCAACCCTTGCTCGGGGCCAAGTACTGAAAGGTACACTTGTAGAGAGTTAAACATGTTGCAGTGCTGTTGGCCTGACCTCAAGACGGACGGCAGAAACCCCTTCTGCCAATAGAATGATATTATTTGTGACTTGTAACAAACCACCCTAAAATGCGGTGGCTTGAACCCTAAGCTTTGTTCATTGTCCCCCAATTCTGTGGCCAGGGCTTGGAGCAGAGCTCAGCTGTGTCCTGTCTGGACAGCTCCATGAGGGTCATCACACTGGCTGGACCAGGCCCCTCTGGCACAGTTGAGGCCTTGCGGCTGGCGCCTCTCTGTCTCATTCTGTGGGGCCTGGATGGTCACAGGGAGGGGAACAGATTCCACTTTTGGATTCAAGAATGGCCCTGCGTGACCATCTTTGCAGGCAATCTACTCACTGTGGCAAATATCCAAGCATTACATAGCTAATGCTATAGAAAAAGCTCTCTATGGCCACTTTCCTGGAAGGGAAAAGATTATGTTGCTCTGATTCTTCCAGCTGTAAGGAGGAAATGTGAAAGACAGGTATTTTAGAGGGCTGAGGGCTGGCGTCCCTTGTCCCTTGTCCCTTGTGGGTGGTGACCTATGTAGCTAGCAGACTGAGTACATGTTACCTCTACTAAGACAGGACCTTAAGCAAACAGAGCGGGGAGGGGGAGTCCATGCCACCAAGCACACAGGCACTGCCCAAGGATGCTGCAGAGGCTGCCAACGTAGGGGAGAGAAACTATCCCCATGAGCCGGAAGTGATCAGCTCACTGTGTCTCTAACAAAAACCAGATGGAGGGCTTCATCCAGAATAATGTGGCAAGAAACTTCAGGCTGTAACCAGCAGGGCTTTTACAGTCACTCTGTAAAGCTTATCCTCCTGCCTGAGCAAGCAGCAAACACAAATTCAAGGTCCAAGGTAGGGTTATATTTCTGGGGTGAAAACAAAGTGTATTCTGAACAAATGAAGAATAACTCAAATTTAGGGGCTCTTAGAGGCAGAAGCAGCCTATGAGATCATCTGTAGCCCAAAAGGCCAGACTCCATTTTCTGCACAAGAAGACTGAGGCCCAGTGCAGGGAGTCTTGATGTGGGATGCTTGGGAAACACCAGGGATCCAGTGCCAGGCACTGTCCTTGGTGTTGAGAATTCAAGGTGAAAAAAGACATCGTCCTTGCCTTTAAGAAGCTGCCTGCCAAGGTGCCAGGACATGAAAAACTCCAAATGGCAACAGCTTGTAGGATTCCCATCCCACTGTGGTACTGCAGGAATGGGGTGTGGGGACCAGTGCGCCATCAGCACCAGGTCCCCAGCGTGATGTCTGTGAGCTCTGTATGGAAGACAGCTTGTTTAAAAAAGTACCCTGCCTCCCAAGCTGTCCATCAGGGCTACACTGGAACCCTGTGCTTCAGAAGAAAACCTACATTAGCAAGAGGCAGTTGTACTTATGTCTCAGATTGGGGCAGATCGGAAGTGTGCATGTCCTCACCTCCCCAGTGGCTGCACCCCAGTCCTGAGGGAGGCCATGAGCTCAGGCCCCTTCTCTGTGCTACAAAACTGAGACTTACTCTCTCTGGAGTCTCAGGAGAGCCAGTCCAAGAAAGGACTCCACCGCTGGCCTGCATGGCCAGCCCTTGAGCACTCACAGGAGTGGCTAGAAAGGGGGTTCAGATCTGAGGGGAACCCAGAGAGAGGATAGCCCAAAGTCTCTGTCCAATGGGAAGAAGAATATAGGCAAACACCCGTGAGAGGCTGACCAGGACCCAGGAGGTGTTTGGAAACTCTTGTTCTGTTCTCACCACAATCCCCTGTGTCAGCAACGCAGTAAGTCCATTTCACAGATGCAGATACTGGGGCTCACAGAGTTTAAACCACCACACCCAAGCTCACACAGCTAGCAAAGGCCAGGGGTGTGATTCACTTCACTCAGACCAACCCAAAGAGGAAATAGCTCCCAGGAAGGAGGCTCCAGCTGCCTCTCTACCTCTGCCCCAGGATCCTGACCCAGCTCTCTGGCCTGTGGCGTGCCTGTCTCCTCAAGGCACCCATCCTCTGGCCTAGAGGCCCAAGCAGGGGACCTGCTCTCCCTGGAGCCCTCCTGCCCCTTTCCTTTGGCTGCTAAGCTGTCCCCTTTGGGGTGATCATTCCCCAGCACTCACTGCCACCAGGTGCCTTCAGGACACCCTCACCCACCACACTGGGGGTCAGCAGAGGTGATCCAGGCCCCACCACTGCTCCTCACAAGAGGGAGGTACAAAGAGGGTGCAGACGTGGCCCTCAGGCCAGCGCTGGTTATCGCGGCTTGGTCACAAATGCAGACTCACAGGGCCCTCCTCAGCCCTGCCCTGCAGAACCCCAAGCTCCCCGGATGCAAAGCCCATTAGGTTTGGGAAGCCCAGTTGGCTGGGTGGCTGCCACCCTGGCTGGAGAATGCAGTTCCCTGCAGACTTCTACCAAATCCTGGGTCCCCCTGTTGGGGCCCTGAGTCCACGTGTCCGCGGACTCCTACAGCACCTCAGAAGGCACTGCAGGAGGGACAGGACGGCTGCGGGGGGCACCAGGAGGTGCCACTAGCGAGGCACCCGGGAGGCACCGCAGGTGTGTGTGGCAGCCTCAGAAAAGTGGGAGACGCAGTGACAGGAGCCGGAGGGAAGCCCTTGGCAGAGCCCAGCTAGGCGGCAGGCGATCTTTGCAGGTGCCAGGGGCAGAGCAGGGGTCCGCGCAGGCGCAGAGGCGTGGGAGCTCGGGGCGGGGGCGGGGGGAGGGGAAGGATGGGCGGGAGGGGTGAGTCACCGCGGGGCGGGGAAGCGGGCGGCCTGAGCTGGGGGGAAGGCGGCGGGGGGGGGGGGGGGCTCGGCAGGAGAGAGGGGTAAGAGCTGAGGAGGGGTGGGAAAGGAGGGGCGGAGGCCGGGTGGCGTTTTGGGGCGCGGTTGTTTCGGGTGCCGCTGCCCGGCTGCCGGAGCTGAGTCACGGTGGGGGTGTGGCCGCGTGGCCCAGCTTTCCCAGGCCGGCCTTGGGGTGCGATGTAGGGACAGAAGCAGGGAAGGGAGCTCTTGAGGGAAGGGGAGTGGCTGCCCTAGGCGGCAGGAAGGTCACCCCGAGGCTAGGTCGGGTGGACATTCGCCACAGTGCCCCGCGGTGCCGGTGCGGGTTCAGGAAGATAAACTTGGGTCATTGGTAGGAAGATGGACGCACTTGCGGTCACAGCGTTAAATGACATCAATCGGACGCACCAGCTTATTGTGCAGCTTCTCTTGTCTGAGAAAACCCAAAATATAAATCAAGTGCAAACTAGAAGACCATAGAAAGTAGGGAGACAGATTTTGTTCAAATGGGGAGGGGATGGAGAGCTGGAGGGAGAGGAAGGCTGGGGATGAAAAAGAACGGAGGAGACCAGCTCCCGCACGGAATGTGGTCACGGTGTGCTGCAGACTCACTGGAGAGCAATTCATCGAAAGCCGCAGGCCTCGGTGCATAGCACAGGTGTAAGCCTGTGTTAGGTCTCAGGCCCACAGGACCGCACAGGGCCTCTATTTGCAGACTTGCCACCTCCACAGCCTTCCTGGCATACAGGCCCAGTGATACCAGGAAAAGGAGCATTGTTTAGAGCCCCTCCTGCCCTGGGCAGGTCCCAGTTTCAAAGCTGAACTCATCTTTCCTAAGTCTCTCTCTGACCTGATTAGGCCTCTGGAACAGTGACCACCTGAAAAAGACAGAAAGGCAGTTTGCAATTCTAAAGTCACTTTGAAGAAAAGTACTGATAAGCATCATAATCATTCAGGTTCCGGGGCCCCAGGATAATGTACGTACGTACGTACGTAACGTACGTACGTACGTGTGTGTGTGTGTGTGTGTGTGTGTGTGTGTGTAGGATACCCATGCTCTGGGCAGATGCTGCAGTGTCCTTGTCCACCTCCTCCTCTGGAGGCCTGGGTCTCTCTATGTCCACTTCACAATCCATTCTGCCTAGAAGTCTGCAGAGCTGCCTGTGTGCTTGACTGAATTCCTTCATCAAAGGTACAGAAGGACCAAGGCTGTTCCCAAGGGCTCAGAACTAGGACCCGGCTGCCCTACGGCCCTCAGCTCTGAGTGAACCAGATAGCAGCAGCTTTTCCCTAGGGGGAATCAGGCATTAGGACTCCCATGAGGCTCGGAGACAGACCTGGAATGCGGAGGGAGGTCCAGGCAGGTCCCCAGGGAGCTCAGTGTCTCCCGCATCCCTGAGGGATGAGGCACCGGTGGATCTGGCCCCAGGACCACCTGGAGGCTGCAATCCAGTACAGCTGGGGGAAAGCTGGGAGCCCACCTGTGGACAAGTGTCCCAGGTCCCAGGAACACAGACCTTTAGCTGCTGAGCAAAGGGAAGTTGAAGAGTTCACCCAAGGGCACAACTAAGAGCTGGCAGAGGTGGGGGTCAAACCAAGGTGCCAGGCCCCCAAGTCAGCACTGACGGCTACACCTACTAGAACAGCATTCGCCTATCCTAAGCCCGTGTTTGTGCTGCTGCTGTGTCCAGCACCACCAAAAACGTGCAGCATTTGCTGGCACTTGTAGGCCTTTTAGTTTTGGGGTGTTGGGTGGGATGGATTGTGGACTGGGGTATAATGTTTTCCTAGCCTTCCCATCACTAACCAAATGAACACCCGGAAGAGTTTTGTTTGTTTTTGTACCAAGGATCGAACTCGTGACCTTTCATTTGCCAGGCAAGCGGTTGTGCCACTGAGCTAAATCCACGGACCCAGGAGAGTTTATTATTTTGACATAGATATCAATGTGAATGGGTTTTTATACAATCTCCAGTTTAAAGACTGTTAATCTATCAAGAGACTAGAGAAAAAATTCACTGAAACATTAGACTTAAGATGAATTTATCCTTTTGCTTAGCAAATGTCATCCTGTTAAGAGCTCATAATGAAAAAAAAAACAAGGAAAAAAATATGTCACATTTCCAACAATTTGAAGTGTGGACACAGATGTCTCTGGATATAGAAGGCTCTGGCTTGGATCTCAGAATTTCTACTTCCTACCTGTCTGACCGTGGGCAGGTAACCCCACATGAAGGATGAAGCTGAGGGCTGTTGGGCTGGGTACCAAGGAGGTCCCATCTCAGATCTCAGAGCTCACAACTCAGCTGGCCCTGTTCCTTCAGAGGCCCACCCCGGCACCACCTCATCTGTCCTGATTGGCTGTCAGGCATTGGCCACAAGAGCCCTCCTGAGAGCTACCATCTCTCTGCACAGGAAGCATGTGCCCCTGTGCTAGTGTAAGACTTGAATTAATTCATTTCATATTTATTCTCCTCCCTGAGATAACAATTATTATTTTCATCTCCATCATTCAGGGAAGGAAATAGAAGTGCAGAGTTGTTGAGAAACTTCCTCAAGATCACACTGCGAGGGAGGGACAAAGCCTGAATTTAAAAACTGGTTTTCCAGCTACCAGACCCGGTCCTGAGGACTCCTCCTGAGGGCTGCGCTGAGCTGCTGATGCTGTAGAATGCCCTGGCTGATGTCCAAGGGAGAGGACTCACCACTCTCCTCACCCATGACAGCAGCAATGCTTTCCTTCCTGCCTGCCTTTACTTATTTTGGGGACATGGGTGGATATCTAGCCTTTGAAACTTGATGTTTATGTGGAGCTATTTAAAGGGCCTCGGAAAGTGCTGGGTACAGGCCAGCATGTGATCCAAGGGTGATCAGAGCCAGGTGAACAGAAGCTCACTCTGAGCTGGTGATGGACCCCAGTGGGTTCCCTGCCAGGGGCTCAGCAGCACCCCCTGGGTACCCAGGAGGGATTTGCAGGCTTTGGCTGGCCTCACATCTGCAGCCTTGGCTTCCACGTTGCCTGAAACTCGCTGCCCAGCGAGACACCTAGTCCCGTATTGACCTGTTCTTCCCCTTTACATCCGCCCACGCCCTCCACAGCTGCCTTTGTCTTCTGTCCCTAACCCTTTCCGTGGGCAGTCCCAGGCGTGGCACTGTCTCCCCAGTGGAGGAGTGCTGGCTATGGAGGTGTTTGAGGCAGAGGGTCCGAGCTCCACTCTTTCTCCCTGTGCCTTTCCTCCACATGCAGTGGCTCAGCCTTGGACTTCCAAGTCTCCAGAACATTAAAACAAAACCTCTGTTCTTTATAAATGATCAGATTTCTGATGGATTCCTAAAGCAACAGAAAATGGGCTGAGACAAAGTCCTGAGCTTGGTGTGATGGTATTTGGGGTCTCGGAGGGTTAGGTGGGGCCTTGAGGGCAGCACCCCACTAAACTTGCAGGCCCTGTAATAGTGTCCCCTGGGATAACCTGCCTTTGGCCCCAGTGACTACTGGTGAGGCTTCTTTCTGGTTTCTATTGACCCACTGGTTCTCCAGGCAGCCCTTAACCCTGGATCTTCCCCCTACCCTCTCCCCATTAGCAAGCTGAGCACCCAGCTAGCTGGGGTGCAGGAGTAACCACGGCTGAATGTGTACCCTGGGCTTCCCTGTCCATGCTGGGGCTCGGCCCACACTCGGCCAAGACCTTGTCCATCCTTGAGGCTGCACTCTTCTGGCATCTTAAAGAGGGAGAGCTGATCTGAGTTTCATTTCCTCTGGGGAGAAGAGAATAAATAGCAAAACACCCCGACACAGGCGGCAAAGGCGGAAGGGGAAGGAGGTAACAGGTATTTAATGAAGCCTCTGATAGACACCATTGCCTTACCCAAGCGCCACAAGGAACCACTGGAAATGCCTGTGAGGACCGGTTGGGAGACGCCAAGCGGTGCACCCCAGGGCACCTACTGAGAAAGGACCAGAGGAATACAGGGTAAAACTCTTGAATCAGCCCAACCCACTCTGCTTCTAAGAAAGAGCTCGTGAAGGGTGACCAATCCCCCAGGTGACTCATCAGCTTTGGGGAGCTGTACTTAGCCACCTCACTATCTGATGACCCTGGGATCCCAGCCGCTGAGGTGATGCTGTCCCTCCCAGCTGCAGAGTGTTAGGGAGAACAGTGATGTCTGCTCTCCTGGACCCCAGCCGAGTTCCTCATTCACTGGGCTGGAACTCAGCCTGGTGCTGGGTTTGTAAGCTTGTCAGGTGATCCTAACATGACTAGAAGCACGAGCACCCTGCTTTTAGGACCCATACTCCCTACGTCTGTCAAGAGGGCTGATGATGCTTCCCACATAGGCAGCCATGAGTGAGCTCATTGTGGCCGCATGCCATGCTAGGGGCCGCCTGGGGCACTCTGCCGGGGCCAGCAGGCCTTGGCTCATAGCCCCTGCTCCTTGAAGCTTGAACACCCTCACTCTGTGCACTGCCACTCTCCACAGGTGCTTGTTATCTAAACAAGCAAGGGATGGGCTGTAGGTTTCACAAGAACTTGTAGAAATCAACCAAAAGAGATTCTGACCTCTTGTCCCCAAGTGCAAGTGGACCCCTGAGGCCAAGCCTGGCTCTGTGGCTCACCGCCACATGTGTGGAGCCAGGACTCGACTTCTTATTTATTCTTCTGTAAAACTGGACTTTCCAGGAGCTCCCAAGTTACAGAAAACCAAAGAGCAGCTGGGGCAATGTATGGGGAAACATCTCTGACACGATTATTTGATAAGGGGATTGAGATTCAGAGAAGGTGAAGGATTTGTCTACTGTCCCACAGTTAGCAAAGAGTGAAGCCTGAACTTAAACCCTGGACAGAGAGCTTGCAGTTCCTAAGGCTTGTAGGTCCTAAGGCTCCAGGAAAACCCAAATCAGTTCCCACTTATAGACAAGGGGAGGCAGATATTTGGAGATGAGACGTGGGAGGAAGGAGCTGGGCCCTTAGTACAGATGCGTGAATTAGGAAAAACCTGGGAGAGAATTCAGAGATGCATAAGCAGAGAATTTGAGAGAAGGGGATGGGTGAGCAGAGGTGAGCCACAAACGTCCAACCTGTCCAGAGGGCCCAGTGGGGTAGGATGTGGTGAGCAGGCATTAGGAATCCTCCAGCCACTGGCCCAGCTGGCTGCCCACTGCTGTCCTGAATGCACACTGAACACCTGTCAAGTCATCCGTAATCACAGTAGAATTCAGTTAGGGTCTTACACCTTCCGGTAGACAGGCAGCCCCCACCTGGCAGGTCAGACTAGTGCCACTCCCCAAGGTACCCTCACCCCACACACACACGGCCTGCCATTCTGCTTGTGCGTTAGAGGTGCACCTGCACCCCAGAACCTATGTCCTTCTCCCCTGGTCTCCCAGTGTTCTCTGGGATGAGCTCTGTGCAGGACTGCCCAGCAGGCAGGCTGGCATTACCTAATTGCTGCCTGGCTTCTTTTGTCACTTCATTTTTTCAAGCTGCCTGGCTCTGAAAAGTCTCCATCTCAGACTGACAAATGAGACTCCAGCCTTGTTCTGTCCAAGCTCTGCAAAAGGGAGAGATCACAGGCTGTCGCCTCGATGAAGCGGCAGCCAGGCTTCCTGCACAAAGCGCTGGGGGCAGTGGATGTCTTTAACAGACAACAAAGCCCAGGCCGGTGCCCTACTTACGGCTGTGACTTTTCTCACTGGGCTTTGCTTTCTGCTGAGAGGTACCTTGGGTCAGCCTTCTGCACACCGAGACTTGATCATCAGCCAGCCCCCTGGGGGGATGAGCCTTGTTAGAGCAAGCTCCTGGCACCCAAAAAGCCTGTCCTGTCTTGGCCAGACAGATGTTTCTAGGTTCAGCAAGAAGAACCTGATCAGAAGAGTATATTCCACAGCAAGAGCTCGCACAGGCCTTGGTGCCTAAGGGTTGGCATTGATTCCTGGGTACGAAAGCAAAATGCAGCATGTGGTTTTGCTGGGAGAGGCCAAGGGCCTCAGCCCCATCCCACCCATGTCCGGGCTGATTGGCTGGAAGGACAGAACAACTTGGCCTCCTCACTGGCTTGGGAGCACCCTGTGGGCAGCAGGCGACCTACATCAGGCCTGGCCTCTGTCAGTGCAGGATGTGATGGCATTGACCGGGCCAGCCTCAGTCCCAGGCCCTCTCAGTGTGTTTCCCCACTCGGACCTCAGCTTGGCTCCAGGAACTGTTCTTCCTGTCTTCCATGTGGGGAAAGTGACATGGAAGGGCTAGGTTCACAAAGCTCGTAATTGAGAGAATCAGAAACAGCCACAGGATGGGGACCAGGGAGTCTAGGCAAGGCCCCCCTGCTGTGGAGGGAGTTCTGCGCAGCTTTCGAGGAGGGAGGAGAAAGAAGCAGGAGGTTTCTGCAGAGAACATGGGCAGCCAGGGACAGGGGCAAGGCCCCGCTCTAAGTTCCTGTGTGTCCTCTGGCTGTGGGTCCTGCCTTGAGTTCCTCATCTGTCAGGAAGATGCAGATACCTGCTGGGGCTCAGCCTGCCCTGTTTCACCCCCTTACCTGTCCCTCCAGATGGCCCTATCCTGCTTCCTTGTCCTGCCCTGCACTCGGCAGGTGACTGCAAGTCCTACCTGAGTTCCTGAAGCCTGGTGCAGCCCCGCATCCAAAGCACATCTGCCCCCATTGCAGTGGTGTGGATTGAGGGGCCCCCGAGGAGACGTTTGCCTGGGAGGGACAGAGCCCTCATGGCCAGCCTGATGTCACTGAAGGAGTGGCCACTGTTCACCCATCTCTTCCCACCCTGTTAGTTACATTGCAGAGACTGAGCAATTTCTCCAGAGGTTCGGACCCTCCACCCACCGGCCTCTCACACAGGTCTACTTTGCTACTTCTGCTGGTTCTAATTTCTCTGGTCCCCTCCTAGAGTTGGGTTTCTTGGGATCCTTTCCTGGGCTTTCTTCCCTTCTCTTGATCTGATTTCCCTCTTGGGTGCTCTTTCCCGCTCATGTAGCTTTAAATGCATTTTAGCTATTAAATATTTACATTTATATCCACAGCTCAGATCACTCCACTGAGGTCCAGACTTCAAAATGCCACTGTTAGCTTATGGATTCTCCTCCTCAGATTGCCCCCCAACCATCCTGCAATGTGGCCAATACTCAGCCCAGCCTTTTAGAAACTTCTTTAGGATTCCCACCACCAACCTCCCAAACCGGGACCTATGGCCCTGGCAAGACACCTCCATCCCTCCTCCTCACTTGCATATTCCAGGAACCACCCAACCCTCTGATTTGACCCCTGAAATACTCCGCCTCCTCCACTTTTCTCCAGCACTGGCTGGGTCCCGGCCAGCGAGCTTGCAGTCGCTTCTCAGTGGCTCTCACCACCTGTCCCCCTACCTCCTCCCACCCTTTCACCACCCAGCAGAGGAGGGTGATGTTCCTAGAATGCAAATCTTACCGTGTTGTCTTTCTCATCAAAATTCTTCCTTAGCTCTCCGTTCACCCTGACAGTAGTTTTCAAACTTTTTTTTTTTAACAAAAACACCTCCAGAATGTAGTAAATTAAAGCAGAACCCTTAACAGCTGGAGTTGGAAAGTCTAAAGACCCTCTCAAATACTCAACCTCCTCACCCTCCCTAATACACACGCACGCGCGCACACACACACACACAGGCAAACACACGCACAATCCTCCATCGGTTTTGTTCACACTTTAGAGCCTCTCTAGTCTGCCCTCCCTGAACACACACAGACTTTACCTCAACTCTGATGATGTCCTGCATTTGTTGGTTACATCCAGATGACATGTAGCTTACTACTTTACATGATCCAGTTCAGGATCCACTTTTGGAAGATAAAGGATGAGTTCAGTCATTTCTGTCACTGCCTGCAATCCAGGGTTGCATAAATTTTAACCTGGGACAGCAGGGCTGGCATTGGCAGCCTCCGCAGGCTTTAGGGTCTGCGGCACTTTTGCCTAGGGGCACGCAGACAAGAGCTGATGCGGAGCATTGCTTCTGCAGCCAGTTGTGGATGAAGCTCAGCCAGCCTGGAAAGAACCTGCGCTGTCAAACCAGACTGATTGGAATTGTAGAACTCAGCACTGCCTCTGCTCAGGCTCCTGCTCCCCAGAGAGGTAGGACCCCTACACCCAGGAGCCTGTGGTGCTGCCTACACACTGGCCCCAGGTTCAAACCCCAGCTCTTCTGCTTCAGAGACAGGTAATGGGAACTAGGTGATCACTCTAAGCGTCAGTTTCCTCTGTAATATGCAGCGATGTTAGGATAGGCAGGTACCTAGCCTTTTCCTGTGTGTCAAGCACCAGGTGCCTGGTAG